TGGAAAAGAATTATATAAGTTTTAAGGGTAAGAAGAGGCTAGTAAGCGTGAGTCCGAGTATAAATACTCAAGATGTTATTATCAGAAAGGAATTAGACGCCGCTGTATCAGCGCTGAACACAAAGCTTAGTAACAGTTTGTCGAGTCTTCAGAGAGAGTTAAACTCTTCGAGAGAACAGACAAACGCCGCTCTCAAGTTGATAACAGAAAGTTTATTGAGTGTGACAAATAGATTGACCGAGCAACAAATTAAATAAATGGCACGGTACCAAAACAGCTCACTTTCTCGACAGAGAGGCTCGGGATTAATTGGAACACTAGCAAACGCAGCGGGCACTGTCATTAACAAGTCTATCGATTTATTACCATTTGAACTACACGTGCCGACTGGTATTAATTCTTTTTATTCTTACTGCGGACCTGGAACGAATTTGAAGAAAAGATTGGCCCGTGGTGATCCGGGGATCAATAAATTAGACTCTTATTGTAAAGAACACGATATAGCATACGCAAAGAGCAAAGATACTAAAAGTAGAGCGATTGCAGATAGGATTTTAGCCGACAAAGCTTGGGAAAGAGTTAAAGCGAGTGATTCTAGCATTGGCGAAAAATCAACAGCATTCGCTATTGCCAATATTATGAAGGCGAAATCAAAGTTGGGTGGAGGAGTCCGCGTGTGTAAGAAAAAGCAATCGATGCAACAAGTAAGTAAAAAACCTAAGTCTCAAAACAAGAAAGGAAAGGGATTGTATTTGAGACCATACAATAAGGGATCTGGATTGTACTTAAGACCATACAATCAGGGATCTGGATTGTACTTAAGACCGTATAAACAAGGGTCAGGGCATAAAAAAAAACAATGTACTCGTCAAAAATAATATATAATTTACCGCATAGACCTTTGACAGCTGATGAGATTTTAAAAACAGTAAGACAATTGAAAATTACAAATTTCAGAGGAGTATTCATGAGAGATTTGTTACCGAATTTTATAAACGATTTTGAGACCGGTATTGTAAATTTGGACAGTATATTAGATGAGGGAACTCATTGGGTGTGTTATTCAAAAGTCAAGTCTCTAATCGAATACTTCGATAGTTTTGGCAATCTTAGACCACCAAACGAACTGATACATTATTTCAATACATCACCGTATCAAGTCATCGTGAAATATAATTATTTCCCCAAACAAAAAGGTAATAGTATAAATTGTGGACATTTGTGTTTGGATTTTCTTAACACTCGAAAATGATATGCCTTACAGGTGACAAATCTGAATTGAAGTGTACACTGTTTCCTCCTTTAGACTTGAGACATTCATCAGAGTGGGAAATGGGTTTATTGGATTTGATGACTTACAACTCGATACCGAACATTGAGGAAGGTGTGAACAGTGATATTTATTTTGGTAACGATATTAAATTAACAATACCAACAGGATCGTACGAAATCGAAGATATTAACAATTATATAGTAAAGGAATTGAAAACTAAAAGTCCTAACACTGATTTCAAGTTAACAGCAAATAATAACACATTGAAGAGTGAACTAAAATGTTCAGAAGAAATAGACTTTATGCGTGAAAACACTATTAGGGATCTTCTAGGGTTCAAGAATGAGAAATTGGCTGCGAATAAATTCCATGTATCACCGAATCAGGCGACCATTAACAAAGTTGATATCATACGAGTAACTTGTAACATAGTAAAAGGGTCCTACCGAGACGGTGTTGAAGGTCACGTTTTGCACGAATTTTATCCAGACGTTGGTCCAGGGTTTAAGATCATTGAGAAACCAACAACTGTTCATTACCTTCCAATAACTAAACAAAATATATTAGACGAATTTTATATACGATTGGAAGACCAAAACGGAGAATTAATAAATTTCAGAAGAGAACGAATAAACATAAGAATATATTTAAGAGGTAAATAATGGGTATTGTATTTTATCGCGAAAATTTTAAACCTACTAATAAAAGATTGCCATTAAAAGAAAGCAGCATTAGTCAGAGACGAGTGGTCAAACCGTTAACATTGAGGAATAGGATATTTTTAAGCTCCCTACCAGTTTTTAATAAAAATTCGTGACAATGAGTAGTATCTTAGACGTGAAAAGGGAAGTCAATTTTGACGAATCTATTACCGATTACGAGTGGCATTCTCATAATCCTTACAATTCAAATTCCTATTTTAATGGAGATGAAATTAGGATAATTAGGATAAATTAGGATAAATTAGGATTGTTCATCAGACAGACGTGTACACATTACCTTGCAAGAGTTTTCTCTTCATCGAGGGTAAAATAGTAAAATCAAATAACAGCGAAGACACAACAACGGAATTGGTTAATAACGCAGCAGCATTTTTATTCGAAGAAATAAGATACGAACTATGTGGTAGTGAAATTGATCGTGTAAAGAATCTAGGTATAACTTCAACTATAAAAAACATACTTACGTCTCGTCCTCAAGACGCCAACTGGATGAGGAACGCAGGTTGGAACATCACAAGTCTTGATAACCAAGAGGACAAATCAAAGTTTTCATTTTGTGTTCCACTTAAATTATTATTAGGTTTTGCAGAAGACTACACAAAGATTCTTTTAAACGTGAAACAAGAACTTGTCTTACTGCGTTCGTCGACAGACAAAAACGTAATATTCCAAGCTTCTACCGCCATTCATGATTGTAAAATTATAATTGAAAAACTAATTTGGAAGATGCCATATATCAGAGTTGAAGATTAATTGAGATTGTCTCTATTAAAAATGACCGATTCGGATAATCATTTACAAGTTCCTTTCAGAAGGTGGAAATTGCATGAATATCCATCACTCCCGACAACAAAATTTCAAACTTGGACTGTAAAAACTTCTAGCATGATAGAAAAGCCGAGATATGTTATTGTAGCGTTTCAAACAGGACGAAAAGATCAAAGTGCAAAAAATGCTTCGCATTTTGATTTATGTGCTTTAGACAATGTTAAATTGTATTTAAATAGTAAATACTATCCCTACGATAATCTAAATGGAAATCAAGCCTTGTTGTATGATTTTTATTCAAGATTCCAATCATCTTACTACGTTGGTAGCGATGACCAACCCTGTCTGGATAAAAAGAAATTCATTGAAAAATCGCCGATGTTTGTAATTAATTGTTCAAAACAGGTTGATACCTTCAAGACTGGTACACTGGACGTCAGACTCGAGTTGCAAACCTCCACAGCCTTTCCAGAAAACACCACAGCTTATTGTTTAATAATTTATGATGCATTGATTCAGTATTCACCCCTTTCGGGGATTGTAAAGAAAATCATGTAAAAAACGGTGAATAAATTAAGTCTGTTTTTTTTTAAATAACGAGTATATTTATTCCTGAATAACATAATATCATACTACACTACATACACAATTAAGAGAATATACATAATAAAGAGAACATCACTTTCATCAGATTTTAGTTAATTTAATAAATCAACACAAATACATGACACGGTAAAATGACATGTTATAATATAACGTGCTAGCTATGAAATATGTAGCACATAGGAATACTATAGTAGACGCTAAAATAAAACACTTAATTTGACACAAGGCCGCTTAATTTAACACGTCGGCGAAGTAATTGTTATTATTGCTATGAACACTATATTACTACATTACATTTAAATCACTACCTTGTAAAATTAATCGTAATATTTATTATTTGTAATCGATTTCTTATCGATTACAATTGAAAATCAAACGACTAACCCGCTGAGGGTACAAACCTGTTCATCTCGTGGTGTACACCGTCGGTACGTACACAATATTACTACGTTACATTATAAATTACTACTATATTAATTTGTTTTTAAATTAGACGTAATTAAACACGTCGGTGTGGGTATTTGTTCTTATCGATACACACACACACAATATTACCATGTGACATTTTAAATTACTACTTGTAAAATTAATCATGTTACAATATTTGTTTTCGACCACGATTGAAAATAAACAAACAGTGCGTTGTGAGTGCATGCGAGAGGTGCCAAACACTGCATGCTAAATATAGCGGGGGCCAGAAAACCAATGCGGCTACTGGCCCTAGAGGGGAGTACAAAGTATGACATACATAGCATGGTAGATATGTCATAGTATGTAGACCCTTTCATGCTTGTAACAGCAAACCCTCACTACTTTCTAGATTTACTTATCAACATTAAATACTCTGTAGGATAAGAAAGACGGGTGATGAAAGTTCCGTGTAGTCATATTTCCTTACTTAGAAAGACAACAAGACTGTGTAGTGTGTAGTCCTAGATTTGCAAGTCCAGTTTTAAATATTAGAGGGCTTAACAAAGGGACTTGACGCTCATTTAAAATGGCAAAAAAGTTAAATCATAAAATAGTTATCCTGGGATCGGCTTTGACAATCTCAAAATCTCAGGATTAGATTAAAGCCCTAGGATTTGAGACCCCTGTTCTAAAACACTATTCGCCACAACACTATCTAACATAACTAAGCCCAATCTAGTTTTAATTATTGGTCACATTGGAATAATTGGTTTTAGCGAATTTGCATTTACGAATGTAGTGTTCATAGCAAGTCAAGGTTTAGGGTTTTAAAATAAATCAAATAAAATAAAAACAAACATATTTATAGTCCATTTATGTGTCTAAATGCATGGTCACCGTCTGCAAAATTCCGTCAATTTTGATTCAATTACAGTATCAGAGTGTTTACGACCAATTTGAATTATTTCACAAGACCACCTAATCCGAGCAGTGAAAGGAAAAGACAATTAGCATTATTCACCTAAGCTATGTAATCTTTCATAAACTACTTGTCAAGATCAAACTTTGTATAGTCTATTATGCGGTAGTTTGGGCAATAATTAACAAATTGTAATTGAAAATTATGAATACCCTAACCAAATGACAAGAAACTGATTTTATGTAACTAATATTGAACACAGTGCAAGGTAGTTTATTGACTGTTATATTGTATATTTCAGATTACCAAATATCTGAGAAGTAGCAATCTGTCAGTAATGGAAGATCTCAGGGTGATTGACGTGGGGTAAACCAACTTTTAATCATTCCTCTATAAATAATTGTACTTAGGATAATATTTACATCTACAATGTATAGAGTTATGTTGTAATTGATAATTCATATATAAGACCTATTTATATGTTTAAAACAGTGGTTAATGTAAATCAAGTAAGGCATCAAATAAATACGAAGTGGTTCAACTAATGTTAGGTTCTGTATGGAAAACTATTTTCCAGGATTTGCTGTAGTGACGCATACTGCGGCGGGGGTTATTATTAAATGGATCAGGTTGTATTAAGCACAAGGCTCAAATATTAATACAGCCTGTGAAGTAAATACCTTGATTGAGATCGGTTTCCCCTCAAAGCTATAAGGCAGTGTCTCATATCGTATTTACTGACAACCAATCAGTTTGATTGCGTTCATCGTGATAATTCTATAAAAGATGATTTATTAGAAGTAAATAAAAAAATTAATCGTTATTTTTTAAGGATACTTGTGAACTAGAAATATTTTTTTGAATTTCTGTAAAACAGTTTTTGACACAGTACAACCAGTACTGACCGTATCGAAAATAAAAATGAATCTTTTTAGCTTCAACACTCAGAACCAATCAGACTTTTTTAGGTCATCATATAGATAAGAAGTTTTTATCAACTAAATTTATATCTTAAATTGGTACATTTCAAAATGATAGGTCAACAGGCTGATCTTTTCACATTGAGCTGAGATACATTTGGTGCTTGATTTGTTAGTTTGGCGACTCATGCTATTAACGTACGTAATAATCATCTAATTATACCTCAGAGATATCTATCTATATAAATAAATTAATTTGGTGGATTTTTTATTCAGCAAGTTAACCCCTAAATATTTTTTTATAGGCATATTGAGTATCAGTTTAAAGCTCATATCGTCTAGATGTGCCTTTTGCTGGCTTGGATGATATGCCGTGAAAGCCCTTTATTAACGAATTGGTCTAGTTATCGGAAGAGTACTGCGAATAGTCGTAGTAGTCACTAGTGCGGACGTTAATCCACACCAGGGAGTATCGCATCCACAGTGCATGCCTATAAATATCCACAATTCGTAACCTCCTAGTAGCTGGATTACAGGACGACGCCACCGTTCCAGTCATCATTAAATATTTCAATGATTTGTTTTACATTTAAGCTGTAAAGGGACTTATGTCCCTACAAGCCACTAGTATAATTTAAATTGTGGAAGTGAATTTCTCATCATGTAAATTCTGAACCGCATTTTCATGCGTTTGTCTATATTAATAAGTACCTATTTTTTGGATTTTTTATTCAGGAAATCAATCCCTAAATATTTATTTGTATGGGCATATTGTGTATCAATTTAAAACTATTATCCTCTAGATGTGCTTTTTACGGGTTTGGTTGAAAGCCCTTCGTCCTATAGACTTTTACAATTTCAGAGTTTGTGCTGAATTATGCTGTCAATCATCTGTACTTTTTCATTTGTTTACACCAAAACATATGGCCTTGATACAATTTTGTTTACATCCATACGAAATGGTGTTACCGCCACAGTTGGTGATGTTTTATTTAATTTGAGAAAAATATTGTAATGTTCTTTGGATACAATGTAAAGAAGAGAATGACTTACATTAGATTTAGTGTTCTTATAGTATTTTGTGTTCCATAGTATGTTTTATTGATGTTTTAGTGAATTCAAGTAAAATATTGGACTGTTATTTGTTTAAAATGTAAAGAAGAAAATTGCATAAGTTAGGTTTAGTGTTTTCATTGTATGTTGCATTAGTATTATTTGGAAAAGCTTATTACAAAGGTATGTTAAGTGGTTGCTTTAAAAATTACAAGTCAATGATAGGTCTGTGATTATTACGTAAAGAATTTATAATTTTCAACTTAGCTCAAGGCAATATAAAACTGTAAATTTATTCAAATATATCACTGATTTTGAAGTCAAAAAGGTGGCTGCTTGTTTATCAAAATAAAGTTTAGGGTGGTTACTGGCAAGTTGTTAAATCATCAATTTTAATTGTTTTACTGTTTTGTTGTTTTAATGCTCGTATGTGATCGACCGCTTTTAATAGACACCATTTTCATACCTGAGCTACTTTGTCATTAATTTGAACCTTTATTAATCTCTAGATTCAGTGGAGAGGTTCGTTTCCACTTCTGGGGAGGCAAGCGCGACGGGTCCAGAGTGAGAGAGTCGCTCAATAGACTGGTCCAGCGAGGGAGGCTGGGTAACGTCACTCTAGTACCTACACATCTAGCAATCACTCAGGAGCCTACCCTGCATCTACTGGTGAGTCTTGTGGTACCAGCCTAGTAAGTGTCTTACCATTCTGCGCCTACTGGTGAGTCTTGTGGTACCAGCCTAGTAAGTGTCTTACCATTCTGCGCCTACTGGTGAGTCTTGTGGTACCAGCCTAGTAAGTGTCTTACCACTCTGCATCTACTGGTGAGTCTTGTGGTACCAGCCTAGTAAGTGTCTTACCATTCTGCGCCTACTGGTGAGTCTTGTGGTACCAGCCTAGTAAGTGTCTTACCATTCTGCGCCTACTGGTGAGTCTTGTGGTACCAGCCTAGTAAGTGTCTTACCACTCTGCATCTACTGGTGAGTCTTGTGGTACCAGCCTAGTAAGTGTCTTAACACTCTGCACCTACTGGTGACTCTTGTGGTACCAGCCTAGTAAGTGTCTTATCACTCTGCATCTACTGGTGAGTCTTGTGGTACCAGCCTAGTAAGTGTCTTAACACTCTGCACCTACTGGTGACTCTTGTGGTACCAGCCTAGTAAGTGTCTTACCACTCTGCATCTACTGGTGAGTCTTGTGGTACCAGCCTAGTAAGTGTCTTACCATTCTGCGCCTACTGGTGAGTCTTGTGGTACCAGCCTAGTAAGTGTCTTACCATTCTGCGCCTACTGGTGAGTCTTGTGGTACCAGCCTAGTAAGTGTCTTACCACTCTGCATCTACTGGTGAGTCTTGTGGTACCAGCCTAGTAAGTGTCTTAACACTCTGCATCTACTGGTGAGTCTTGTGGTACCAGCCTAGTAAGTGTCTTAACACTCTGCACCTACTGGTGACTCTTGTGGTACCAGCCTAGTAAGTGTCTTATCACTCTGCATCTACTGGTGAGTCTTGTGGTACCAGCCTAGTAAGTGTCTTAACACTCTGCACCTACTGGTGACTCTTGTGGTACCAGCCTAGTAAGTGTCTTACCACTCTGCATCTACTGGTGAGTCTTGTGGTACCAGCCTAGTAAGTGTCTTACCATTCTGCGCCTACTGGTGAGTCTTGTGGTACCAGCCTAGTAAGTGTCTTACCATTCTGCGCCTACTGGTGAGTCTTGTGGTACCAGCCTAGTAAGTGTCTTACCACTCTGCATCTACTGGTGAGTCTTGTGGTACCAGCCTAGTAAGTGTCTTAACACTCTGCATCTACTGGTGAGTCTTGTGGTACCAGCCTAGTAAGTGTCTTAACACTCTGCACCTACTGGTGACTCTTGTGGTACCAGCCTAGTAAGTGTCTTATCACTCTGCATCTACTGGTGAGTCTTGTGGTACCAGCCTTGTAAGTGTCTTACCACTCTGCTTCCTATCAACGTTTATAGAGTTATTTCAGTTACTTTAACGAAAATGTTTGTATTATAATTAGTAAAGCACGGGTCACACTAGGCTGATCGCCAGCCGCTGGTGATCAGTGGCTGGCACCAGCACCACCAAGCAGCGGCTTTTGCACGGGTCACACTAGGCTGCTTGTCAGCCGCTGGTGATTAGTGTCCGTGGGACCTCGTAACGAGTTCTAAACCGATTAAGAGCTTAAAAAAAAATTTAGTATGTTGAAGTGTTTTTGTAAAGTTATTGGTTACGGAGAAAAAAAACTTAAATTCCTATATCTTTTCATGGGTCTATTAGAGCAAAACTTTCTTTCAAACAATCCTTTAACTCCTCTTCTTTGGTTAAGATATATAGATGATATCTTTATTGTTTGGCACACCGAATGAATTCACTAAACAAATTTCTACAAGATTTAAACCAATTTTCTTGCTTGAAATTTACTTGAAATTATTCAGACAAAATTGTTTCTATCTTAGAAGTTGATGTCTTCATTGACAATCAAAAACTTAAAACAAAAATTCATTTAATAGAAACTAACAAAATGCAGTACTTACATTATCAAAGTTGTCACCCTATTTATATGAAAAAATCAATTGCAAAAAGCTTATCAATTCGTGCTAAAACACTCTGCAGAAAAAGATCTTATTTAAAAAAATATATATCTAAATTGAATTCTGCTTTCATTGAAAGAGGCCATCCTCAAAAACTAATATCCAATCAGATAAAAAAAACCCAAAAAACTAAACCAAGATAATGGTTTTTCAAGTGATCCAAAATTTATTCCTCAATACTATCCTGGGCTACAAAAGATTAATAGTGTAATGAAAGTAGCATTCAATATTTCGAAATCTTCCCCCAGTACTGAACATTTATTTTCCAGACCACCACGTGTTATTTTTAAAAGGCTACAAGATTTAAAAAAAAATTTGGTGAGACCCAAAACTCAAAGTTCTCTGCCTTCAAACAATTATAAACACGGCTGTGAACCATGTCACAAGCCCCGATGTGGTATTTGCAAAATTATGAGTAATACAACTGAATTTGATAGTAAAGTTACAAACAAGGTTTATCCTATTGTTGGTAGATCAACTTGTGAATCTCACAATGTGATTTATCAACTATCGTGTAAACATTGTTCAAAAGAATACATTGCAGACTTCAAACTCTTAAAGAGTTCGAATGACAGGCCATCGTTTTGATGTGGTACATGAAGAATCTATAATCATGCCGCTCACCACAACCAAAATTTTGAAGGCTGCTATACCCTTAAAGCCCTTCACAAAATAAACCCACATCAAAACCCTAAATGCGACCAACTGGTTTTAAGAAATTCTGAATTGGCTCACCAGTTGGTACTGAAAACAAATTTCTCCTCTGGTTTAAATTTAAGATAGGAAAAGTGATTCAACTCAGCTGAATTTTAATTTTCTTTTAGGCTGATTTTATTATTTTCTTTGATCTGTACTCAATCATATGTTCTCGAAGTTCAACTATTTGTAAACAGTTAATATTTATTTGTTTTGTTCATTTTTACATTTTTCATTACTTTCTCTTTGCTTGAAAACGTTTGTATTAAACGAAAATTTGCAATGTTTCATATTTCATTTATCATTAACTCTATCAAGATCTCCTAAAGAATATTATATATATTACTTATATATTACTAACTTACTTACTTTTATTACTTATATATTATATATTACTAAGTAAATCAAAATACCACAGTACCCTAAAAACATTTTATTTTATATTACTTACATGTTTCGGACATTAATGCCATGATCACAGTATAGTACATAACCTATTAGTTTCTTTTATTTACAAACATTATTAGATATTTCTTGTTAAAGAACAGGTGATAATTTTTATGTTAAGGGAAGGAGGTGTTTTCTTTAAGGTTTATAATTTCATTGAATATTACGTTTTGATTTTGAATTTGTGTCAAGTTTAGTAAATTGTCTTTGTCATTGATATGATGAGTATAAATATAAACGTCTTCTTTTGCATTCATTTTTTCACCTTTATTTTCAACATCCAGAATGTATATATTTTTATTCATTTTTGAGTATGTATGGTCGGTCTGAAGTATATGTTCGGCGTATGAGGATTGTTGTGTTGTCATGTTGTTTGATCTTATTGCCTGTATATGTTCTTTGTACCTGTACTATATTGGTCAAACAGGTCGAACATTCGAAGTCAGGTACAAAGAACATATACAGGCAATAAGATCAAACAACATGACAACACAAAAATCCTCATACGCCGAACATATAATTCAGACCGACCATACATACTCAGAAATGAATAAAAATATGCACATTCTGGATGGTGAAAATAAAAGGTGAAAAAATGAATGCAAAAGAAGACTTTTATATTTATACTCATCATATTAATGACAGAGACAATTTACTAAACTTGACACAAATTCAAAATCAAAACGTAATATTCAATGAAATTATAAATCTTAAAGAAAACACCTCCTTCCCTTAACATAAAAATTATCCCCTGTTCTTTAACAAGAAATATCGAATAATGTTTGTAAATAAAAGAAACTAATAGGTTATGTACTATACTGTGATCATGGCATTAATGTCCGAAACATGTAAGTAATATAAAATAAAATGTTTTTAGGGTACTGTGGTATTTTGATTTACTTAGTAACATTTAAAGTAGCCCTCATTGATGTATACAATAACAATATATATATATATATATATATATTTGTTTTTGGCTTATGGGGACATTAAAACGAAAAATTAAATCGGTCCCGGGTTCAGATCTTACTATGAGACCTATGGTAATAGCTTGTTCGCTATATGGGAAATTCGCTAAAAATTAGATAGGGGCTTTTGTGTAAAACCAGGTTGAAAATTACCTTTGGTCGCCACTGGTACGCTTCTATAGGTGGTCAGACTTCGCTGGTGGCTGGCACCAGCGAGTGCGAGTGATCACGTGACCTCTAGTCGCCGCTGCCTCGCTACCAAAAGTTGAACTTGTCCGACTTCACCAGCCGCTGACAAATACTCGCCGGCTGGCGGCACCAGCTGCGTATTTTGTGTTCACATTAAAGCTAGGGTTTCCAAGATCACGCCAGCGTGATCTGTCCGGCGTCATGTCCGTTGGCGCAAATTTTTGTCCGGCAGATGTCCGATCAAGCTCGGCGTGAAAGTGGTTTGCAAGAAAGCGGACATTCGCAGTTTTTTTTCACATTTTTACAAGAATCCTCACAGAGTCCTACACTTGTCCGCTCGGCGTGCACGCCAGAAATGACTTGGGTCATTTCCAGCGTGCCACGCTCTGGACTCACGCCGGACAGATGGCGGGAAAACTCATGTCCGGCGTGATCGCATGCGCTTGGAAACCGCACTCATATAAAAGCACGGCGTCAATTTAAACTTGATTACGTAATCACGCTTGTCCACTCGCGCTGTCCGCCCGGCGTGATCTTGGAAACCCTAGCTTAAGCTGACAGTAGCGGCTTCTTTTCATTCGCCGCTGATGCCAGTTTAGTGTGACCCGTGCTTAAGGAACGAGTTTTCACGACGATTTGTGCTATGCAATGTTTAAAATAAAAATAGCACAAAGTCAGTAATACTTGAAAATCCATAAAAGAAAAACTATACAGTCTATATGCGAAAAACTAACATTTCCTTAGGAACAAAATGGAAGGATAGAGTACGCAATGGAGCCGACTGCAAAAGAGAACCAGTGTATATTATAAAAGTCCAAAAATGTTTGAAATTCTTAGGAGATTTTTATATTTTAGAAATTAGACACAATACAACAAAACATCACGATACTTAATACTTTAATACTTTTTTAATACTTTCTTATTAAATGGCAACCATACAAAGTAGGTATTTTAAGCCAATTATGAATGGAGATGAGTGTAGGATGAACATTGCAATAATAAGTATATTACAATGAATAATAAATAATAATAAAATAATGTTTATTTACAACAATTTAGTTGCTATAGTATAATGAATTTAACTAGCCGTTTTTTGCCAGAGTGTGAAGTTGAACCTGCCGAAGCCTGTGGTACGACTTGGGGAGAAGTTCATACTTACCTGCGTCGCTCAGGGATCCTCGCATTTGACGTTCCGTTGGTTCAAAGATGATGTTTTAATCAATACGACACGAGCGAGGAGGTAAGTCCTTAAATTTCTTAAGCTTTTTATTTCCTTGCTTGGTTTTGTTCACATTGCTCACATTTTAATTAGTTTTGTTAAAACAACCGTCTGTTTTTAAGTAATAATAAGATTTATTTTGTAAAGTAAGTAATAAAAATGAATTTCATTATAATTTCAAATTTTGGTATAACATTTTCTTTGTTGTTCAAACTTGCATGCTTTCTAAAATCAAGATAACTGTAAATTAAAATTCTTGCTATTTCAAATATTTCTTAAATTCCATTTTGTGTGCCATAACCAAATCTAAGGAAACGGGTAATTGGGATTATGATCTTTTACGTTCTGCGTTGCGTGTTTGCGTTATGTTGTTCGTTACGTACTGTTTATGTTCTGTTGTTTTTGTTATAATTGTTAAGGCCAGCATCGGTTTCACAAGTAACAGTTCTATCCCTATAAATTCTCAACACAAGCATGATAAAATACGTAGAATCTGTTTCATAACAATCCAGAAAAAATCATTTATCCCCGCCTTGTAGTATGTACATCCTTATTGCTTGAAAGTCCAAATCCAACATAATGTTTGTAGCTATTGTTTCGAGGTTGAAAGCATTTCAATTATCTATGAATTGTGTCCATAGAAGCATATGGAGCCGGCTTTTGCCACTAGACTCTATGGAGCAATATACTGCGCTGCTGGGAGTGGAGCAGGCGGATCCCTTAGATGGAGGCCGCTTTACTTGCCAAGTAACGGACTGGGGCTACCAACAATGCAAGAGTGTCGTGCTAGAGGTGCTGCGCCCCCCTCAGATCAGGCTGGACCCTATCACCCTCACTGTTGAGAAGGTTGGCAAACTCATCATTTAGTATTTCTAGTTCAGTAATTTTAGTTTCCACACCAGTGCCATTTTGCTGTTGACAACTTTATAATCACTTTCAGTTAAGTGTTCGTCTCAGCCCCTCAACTTTCGTAGATATGCTAGGCATCAAACTCGTTCCTCTCAATCTTAAATCCGACAACTTAATTATTTGGTTAGACCGTGATAATTTCAACAAACTACCACTACCAATTTGTATATAGAAGTAAAAACCACCGTTAAATTATTTCATCACTTACAAAAGAACTCGTACCCCGGAACTAAGCTTTTAGGGTAGGATACATTTAAGAGTTTATGAATGGGCTTGTAAAATTACTTCAAACTTAATTTTTCTTCTAACCCATAATGTTTATATCTACGAAAATATTTCTTATGTTCAATATTAAAGCTTTTGATTTAAATTGACGATGATAAAAATATATCCACATAATATATGATCACTTTTTAACTCTAACAATATATAAGGCTATATTAAAATTTGACTATTTTTTCGGACTAAGCAAAATTATATTCGTCAGATAGGGTTTTTAACTAAACTTAGAATTAACAGATATATTCTCTATTTAACTAACACAAAGGAACCCAAACTTAAATTGCGAATTTTCAGAGGATTCGATTCTGAGGCAAAACTAATAATGTTATATCTTTTTAATTGTTTAAGATTATATTCACTTATTACACTTAAGACAGTTATTACCCTGCCGATGGCTACCATCAAGGGGAAACACTAACACTGCCAGTCCCAATAGTGTAATCCAAGGTGTAAGCAAGAGTTGTCTGATACTTCCCCGTAGTGCAGGGTGGAAAACGCCTCTTAGGTTGGCTTGGAACTTATGAAGTAGGCGAAAGGCAGGAAACTCGAGCCCGGTCTTCCAAGGGCTTGTGGGGTTGGGCGTTGGTCCAACAACTCGCCCCGAAAAACATACCAGTTACGAAACGTTGCTACCAAGCCTCGGAAAAGGAACATCCCAAAACGAAAACGAATCGGATAAGCACTAAGGACTTGAGAATATGGTAATGGAATAATAGATGGTTAAGGGAAGAAGGTTAAGTTGGATAGGGCATGTGCTATGAAGAGAGAAAGGAACAAGACTGTATGAAGTTTGGAGAGCCACACCTGGAGGTAAACGTCCATTGGGAAGGCCGAAATTGGGATGGACTGACCAAGTATTGAACGACATCAGGACGATGGGTGCAATTTTCAACTTGGCAGAAGACAGAGAACGACGGAAGAGGCTGGTACACGAGGCGAAGAATCGACTGAGATTTGTGGATCCACGGCAGTAATTAAGACAGTTATGAGGCGAAAAAAATTAATAATTTACTATAAATGGAATATTTAGCTTTTAGATCTACAACAAGAAGAGTGATTTACCTACCTAAATCAGGATAAAGTCAAGTAAAAAGAAAAAATAATAATTTATTTTTGTAAAAAAATACAACCGACTTCAAATGCTATAAAAAGAATGAAATAATTTCAATAAAGTAAACTTTTGTATTAGTCAAACTCACGTATTTTAAGTAGGCGTGGCTCTATGATGATTTTTGATACAATATTTAAAGAGGATGTCCACATTGCAGGTGACTATCTATAACTAAAGGTGATTATAATATTATAGTGGTATTAACGAGCGATTAACGAGTATCTTTAAAAAGATTATAATGTATTTACATATTTCTAACTTGGAAAAGTAACGTGTTAATTTTAAACTAGCTTCTTTTCCCTATCATAATATCAAAATAAATTATTTTCCTATTCATATAGACATTTGTGTGTGTTAATTTCACTATGCAATCATTCTGAAGTAAACATAAAATACAAGAAAATACTTAATTTTTTTATATATAAACAAAACAGTTCAGTTTTATTTAATCATATTTTTGCAGTTAGAGCCGCACCGACTTGAAATACGTGAGCTTGACTAATACAAAAGTTTACTTTATTGAAATTATTTCATTCTTTTTAGAGCATTTTTGAAGTCGGTTGTATTTTTTTACAAAAATAAATTATTTAATGATTTTTAGTGACTGTATAATTTGTTATATATTAATTACTTGAAGTTTTTTGATAAGCAAAACTGTTTGAAACAATTAAAAGTGCCACAGAAATTGCAAATCAGCTTCCCATTTCCGAAGCAGGCATAATATTATTGACAGTGAAGAATATTAATAAAAATTCCACATCTTTACATCTTAAAATGCATGTTTAGAAATTAAAATATTTACCACTTTTAAGACGATTGACGATTATGCAATCTCACACCTCTTGTGTCGTTTAAGGAATAATTGCATCTAATTTATAATTGGACCTCTTTTACGAATGCTTTGGTTTTCACAATACACCTTAAATTATTGTCAATATCATACAGCTATTCACTATGTTTTTATAAGTCAGAACATTCAATACTCAAAACAGAATCATACACAAATCAGTTCAAACGTTGAAATACCTTTTTTATAGTAACCGAAACAAAATGCATTTTTTTAAATGTTACTCATTTAGGCTCCATGGCAAGAAATAGTTTATTAATCAATATGAAGCAACTGTTTCATGAATAAACAGTCTGTAGCTTCATTTAAATGGTTTTAACTAACAGCTGTAGGAATGTCATTATTATTTATTGCCTTCTCTGCAAAAATATAAACAAAATAAATGTTGAATATTTGAAGTTTTCAGCATTTTTCACCAAACAAATATTTTTCTTAAACATAATGTTATATATGGTACCAAATAGAAAATCTCCTGGTTATTTTGGTGGTGGAACCACGCTGACCGGTAAAAGAATCACAGAGAAATTGGTGAACATACATAGAAAAAAAAACATCGCCACAGACAAATTGAGAACCTCCTCCTTTTGTTGGTAGTGGGGAAGTCGGTTAAAAACAAGTACTCTATTTAAAATACGTTCCTATAAACCTTTGTGTCTCTTCTTTACAATCTGACTGTGGTTAATCATTCAACTGAAAGAATGTCTGCTCACAGTTACATTCACACTCAAACATGTAAAAAATGTCAGCATCAATGAATCTATGAAAGCAAATTTAAAAAAGTCTAAAACACCACGGGGTGAAGCCCTAGTGGAAATTAATTTTTTAATACTACTAGTCACTCTGATTAATCAAGCCTTACAATGACCCATCAATCGTAAAAATCGGTTGAGTAGTAAAAAAGGACTGTAACAGGGAAAACGCTTATCGTATTAAGTATATAAAATATGCTTTAAAGAGTACTAGAGATATACTTTATAGATATACTTTAAAGAGCTGTTATAGGGAAGGGCTAAAGCTTTATTTATTGTTTTTAATGTTGATGGTAAAGTATTAAATAAAAAGGTTGCCAAATTGTATCAAAATATATTCATAAAGAAGTAAGTACATCATTTTACTGTTTCTCCGTAAGAATAGTTTTTTTTTCTCAGTAACATTTTTTTGTATAGCCTTCAAATATAATATTATAATATAACTAGCTGTACCCGCGGGCTTTGCCCCGTTTAACTTCATAAGTGAGCTCGTTCGCATGGCTCAATCACGTCCTGGTTGAACCCGCGGGCTTTGTCCCAATATATATAATATAATAAATATTACTTCAATGAAATAATATTTGCTTTTATGGCTACACGATGGTCATAATTAAAGTTGGATATTTTATTTTTTAAGGGTAACAGTTTGAATAAAACCAGTTAAGAAATTCAACACCTACAACACCCTTCGCATGGTTATCTGGCTGCTTCGTGAACTCATTCAAGTTTATCCAGCTCTACACATTTATGACAAACTTCATCAATATAGAAGCAAACACAAAATTGCTCGAGTCATCGTTTTCACGAACACATAGATTTGACAAATTAATCCCTTATGTGAGAAATTTGGCAATAATAAATCAAATTCTCATGATAAAAAAGTCCTTTAAATTAATAATCCCACGTTAAATAAAACATTATTTTCATTGAATATGAGCTGACGTGAGCCTATAAAGATGCACTTGTTCCTTGATAATATCCAGGCCTAAGTCGTTAAGGCACCTCTTCTTTACTCAATGCTCTCCTTTTTGTAATTAGAAGCTGTAATTAGAAATAACAGTATGTTCCGATAGTATTTTATGAGTTAAAATTATTATAAATATGACAAATAATATTATTTATAGATGTATTCTTGTAATGGATCTTGGAGTCTAATATAACTTAACTAAATGTATTGATTTATTTCTCATTTTGAGTGGATTTTGTTTTGGTAACATTTCAATGGATTTGTTTGTTTATGAACCATACCACTTTCGGTTCAAATATTCGTTACTGCACCTAATTTAACACTACTTTCACGCTATACGGTTTTCGCCGTATGGATAAAACCCATACTAGTATTTTTTGTTAGTAGTGTAAGGAATGTCATGAGAGTTTCCACACTACACGGTTACGGTGACGGGATAAAACCGTGCAGCCTTGCAGCCGTTCACTGCCACTGAACCGGACGATTGTCGCGCCGAGGCCGGGCCTCAGTGGTGCATGTAGAGAAATGATGAGCTGAATGCAAGCGTTAATTCTGCATGGTTTATAATCGAACAGGAGCCCACCAGCCAGTGCAAATAGACCAGTTGTTGCAGCTTGTTATCGTTTAATAGTTACTAGAGTTCGTCCAGTGGTCGAAAATTATACCAAAAATTATGTAATGTACACTGTACAGACATCTCCATTTTTACCCTACGCTGTAAATAAAACACGTGATTGGAATTTCTTCCATAGTGTTTTGATTTTATGTTTATATTTCGTTGTTATTTCGTCACCAGCATGAAAAGCCATAAGGATCATGATCTATTTTGTTTTTATTTTAAATTCTTTTTAATTTTAAATGTGCTTTTTTATAGCCTATTTTAATTTATAGAGGGGTTCTGTACATCTACAGAAAAATATCTGTTCAACAGCATGCGTAAATTTTCTCTGTAATGTACACGAGCTGAGAACAAATGTTTTA